ACGACGCGCTGGCCAGACAAACGCCTCGATCTTCTTCGGCAGCAGCTGGTCCTGCGTGTCGCCGTGGCCCAGCTCGCCGTAGCGACCATTGCCCCAGCTCCAGACCTCTCCATCGGCGGTCATTGCGAGGCTACTCATATTTCCGGCCGAGACAGCGACGACGTGCTGGCCAGCCAACGCCTCGATCTTCTTGGGCAGCAGCTGGCGCTGCTCGTCGCCGTGGCCCAGCTCGCCCCTGCCTCCACCGCCTCCACCGCCCCAGCTCCAGACGGCGCCGTCGGCGGTGATGGCGAGGCTGTGGGTCTCTCCAGCCGAGACAGCGACGACACGCTGGCCAGCAAAGGCCTCGATCTTCTTGGGCAGGTGCTGGTGCCAGCGGTCGTCGCCGTGGCCCAACTGGCCTTCGCCTCCAAAGCCCCAGCTCCAGACGGCGCCGTCGGCGGCGAGGGCGAGGCTGTGGTTGTCTCCCGCCGACACAGCGACGACGCGCTGCCCAGTGAAGGCCTCGACCTTCGTCGGCTGCCACTGCTTCTGCTCGTCACCGTGGCCCAACCGGCCAGAGGCTCCAAAGCCCCAGCTCCAGACGGCCCCGCCGGCAGTGAGGGCGAGGTTGTGCGCATCTCCAGCCGACACGCTCACGGCGCGCTCGCCGCCCAGCGCCGAGGGGAGGCGCGTCGGCGTGTTGAGCCGCGTCACGCCCTCGCCGTGCCCGAGCAGCGCTGGAACGTAGGACGGCGCAGAGCCGCACGACGAGAGCCGCCCCTCGCCGTCGATGAAGTCGCTGTGCCGATAGCCTGCCACCCTGGCCGGCGGGTTGGACTCGCACAGCAACGCGGCGAAGCACAGCCTCCGCACGGCGCAGCTCTCGTCCTCCGGCTGCACCGGCAGCTCATGGCCGCGCTCTTGCGCCCTCAAGCGGATGCCCTCTACCGCAAGCGAGGCGTGGAAGAGGAGCGAGACGGCCGCGACGCGAGCGATGTCGGCGGGGTCGCAGCGAGAGACGACGCGCACGAGGAGGTCCGTGGGGAGATCGAGGAGGCGGGTGGATGGCGGCGTGTCTGGCGAGGGAGCGGCGGTGGCCGCCGGTGCGAGGCGGCGCGAGCGGCGCGGCGGGGTGGACATACACATCGCGAGAAAAAGAATTCACACAAGCAACTCTCTCTCACAGCAGACAGGCTCGACACAGGTGCGAACTGGCGCGTGCTAGAAAAAGAATTTTATAGGCGCCAGTGCCAGTGTCGTGCGAGAAAAAGAAACTCGGCTGCCGGTGCGTTTCTTCCAAAATCGGGCTTGCTTGCGTCTCGCATGCGCGTCGCCTCCGTCCTCCCGTCAGCCACCGAGATCCTGTCTTCATCGGCGGCGAGCGCTTGCTCGTCGGCCGGTCGCACGAGGACAACTTTCCGCCGCAGATCACGACTCTGCGGGCCAGACGACCAGGGGGGGGGGGGGGGGGGGGTATCTCTTATTACACTTTATGTGGTCTTATGACCCCTTTCAGTGACACGCGGACTTCACGCCACAAGGGCAAGACGTCCGTCCCACTCACTGCGCAGCGGGCCTTCTGCTCGTGATGGTCGTCTGGTTCGATCAGCTCGACGGTGCCGTCGATGCGTGCGCCGCCGCTGGCATTCCATTCTGCAGCCTGTGGGTCTGGTTCGGCTGGAGCAGCGTGCTCAATGAGGTGCGACACTGGATAACAGATCATGCAGCACGGATCCTACCGATTGTCGACCGCGCGTCGGCCACGTGGGAAGCGAGCTGGGCCTCCCGCGCTGCCGCGTTTACTGCCCTCGGTGCACCAAGCCATAACCATGGTGTGAGGCCTCCCCACAGCTCGCGTCGCACCCTACTCCCGCGCCGCCACAGGTTTACTGTTCCTGGCGCAATCTCAAGGCGGCGTCTCCCCTCATGAAGTCGTCGCCACGCTCTCCCACAGTCTTGAGACGATGACCTGGTTTGCTGGCTCGGTGCTGCGGCTGCCACGGAGGTGCCGGCCTCTACTGGGCGAGAGCTTGTGAGCTTCTGCTTATCCCCGTGGCTGCGAGCAGGCACATGCTGCCCCTGCTCGGCGGCACACGGCTTCTCGCGCCGGTCATCCGTATCACTGCGGGATTGCTGCCGGGCCAGGCGCAACCGCCGCCTCGGCCTCAGAGAGAGAGAGAGAGAGAGAGAGAGAGAGAGAGAGGGAGAGAGAGGGAGGGAGAGAGAGAGAGAGAGAGAGAGAGAGAGAGAGAGAGAGAGAGAGAGAGAGAGAGAGAGAGAGAGAGACCGTCACTTCCCCTCGCGGTTGGAATGGCTGACCTCTCTGAACAACGGATGGTGCGCAGGCGGTCTGGGCATCCCTCGGCGTCTGCCTGTCCGACGCCTTCGGCCTCACGCCTAGCCACCTGCGCCTCTCCCCTCGCAACCTCCTCTCCTCTGCTCTGGGCGGCCTCACTAGAGGAGGGGCAAGGGAGGTTGACGGCTCGCGGCCTCCGATGGCACTGTGGCTTGCCGCAGCCGCGGTGTGGTGCGGCGCCGGTCTGACTCTTGGATGACAGGGATGGCTGGAGCGACATGAGTGGTGGGGGTCGTATCGCGAGATCGTCTCGCCGGCTCGAGATTTTTTAACGCTCTCGTCTATGAACACGTATGCGTTAATTCGTTAAAAATATAATAAGGGAGTAGTGTCTCAACGTCAAGAGCGTGGGATCGGTTCTGCATGAATGGCATCAGCGATCAGGGTGGAGACTGGAGTCTCGTCTCTCAATGATATGAAGATTACCGCGTACTATTTCCTCTCACACAAAAAGGCCGCGGGCGGGGGGAAACGCCGCTCAATTTAAGGCACAAGGGCCCTGAGGGGCTCTCCCCTTTCTCAACGCTCAAGCGCTCTCCCAGCAACCACGCGGCGCAGGAAGCCGCCCGCCACCGGTTCGGACTCGCTCAGCCGCAGCCCGGCGGCCGTCACTAGCGCGGCCACATCCTGATCGTACGCGCACGTCGCCGCGACGGCGGAAGTGCCCCGTGTGAAGGCGAGCGCACGGCTCACGGGCCTACGCGCCAGAAGAGCGTCTGTAAGCTCGAGCCTCGACTGCAGGGGCAGCGGACGGCAGCGTGGCGGGGGCGACGCAGACCCGTCGTCGTGCTCGAGCAGGACCACCTCCCCGCCCGGCCGCAGCACCCTCCGCACCTCGGACAGCACCGCGCCAGGCGCCTAGCGGGTGCGGCTGCGCGGGTCCGGCAACACCAGCTAGGCAACACGCCGGGGAGCCGCTTCTAGCGGCGCGCCTCAAAGACGCACAGGCCGAAGGTGTCGACGACGGCGTCGAAGCTGCTGTCGGGGAAGGGCAGCGCGGCGGCGTCGGCGATGCGCAGCGTCACGCGCGGCCTAGCAGGCGCTCCCTCATGAGACCTATCGCGCCACCCTCACTCCCTGCACAGCGGCTCTGGCGGGGGTTTGCCCGAGCGGCAGATCGCCGGCTCTTCGCCGCGCCAGCTCGAGCATGCCTGCGTGCGGGGTCGGGGCGGCGGAGCTCGGAAAATGAGACGAGGACCGCTCGCTCTGCGGAGGGCGGTGCGGGCCAGTGACGGAGGAGACGCGCCGGAGGAGGCGTCGATGCCGGTTAGGGTGCGGACGATCGCTGGCTCGTAGAAGGGAAGGTTGAGGCCGGTGCCGACGCCCAGCTCGAGCACGTCGCCTGTACCCAGACGGGAAAGACTGAATGGCAGTCGGCGGAAACAGCCTCGGGTCGCACCAGCGTGGTCGCCGTGGGCACGCGTCGCCACGCTCCTCCGAAGTGAGTCAAAGCCGACCGCACGGCTCACCAGGCTGTCGGCGTAGGCGGCGTCGTAGGCTGACGCCTCGGCGTCATAAATAGCGGCGGTTGTCGGCGACGCGGCCACGGCTTGTGGCGGTGTGGCGATGACTGCAGCTGCCGCAGCGGCGCAGAAGCAGCGCCGGTCGGCAAGGCTCCTCGATCCCGGGCTGACGGCGAGGTTGAGAAGTGAGAGCGGGAGCATTCTTCGCCCGTCAGTCGCCCCGCACAGCGCTTTCTTTTCTTTCGCGTTCTTGAAGTAAGAAAGACTACATAATTTTAAGTTTGGAAAATGTAGCAATGAAACTGAAAAGAATCACGCGCACTTCAGCCTGCGGCATTTCCCATGTCACCTTGAGCGACATGCCATGTCCGCCTTGCTTTTGTTCATAACATCGTCTTCCTCGCCATCCTGTTGCGTGAATCCTACAGCGCGTGGAAGCGATACACACAAGCGCTGCTTGGAATCGGCACGGCGGCATGCTCGGTGGCATTCGGACTGCCGTTCTACGCCATGTCTCTCGCCTCCTCCACGGCTGCGGCAGCCTACTTCACCGGCTCGCGGCTCTCTGCACGCCGAGGCTGAACGACCACGTGCGTCCGGTCCTATGCTTTGGCGACTCGATCACCGAGGGCTACCACAACATTTGGCCTCACAAAACCATCGCGCCTCAGCGCACACTTCCGGCCAATGTCAACAGTCACGAGCACGCCGCGCTCCTCTGCCACCCGTACAGCATACGCCTCGGCTCGCTGCTGGCGGACGACGTCGGCGACGGCGCAGGCGGCTACAAGGACTCGCTCCGCTACGCACGCGCACGGGCCTACTCGGGTTGGACAGCGGAGGAGCTGCTGCCGGTGCTTCGCCGCTCGCTGCGCGAGGGTCCGTGGCGCTGCGCCGTCATCATGGCCGGCTGCAACGACATCCTCTGGCGGAACGCGAGCGCGGCGACGACCCTGACGCACCTCGAGGCGCTCTACGCCGCGTGCGACGAGGCGGGTGTGCCCGTTGTCGCGCTGAGCAACACAGAGGCCGACCTCGGCGAGTTCTTCAGCGGTGAGCAGCTCGCCGAGCGGACGGCCGCGCTGCGCGAGGTGGCGGCGGGCGTGCTGCAGATGCGCTCCAAGCGTGCTGTCGCCGACGTGCGCGCCGCGCTGCCTCTCGGCGCGCAGCATTTTGACGACGCGCTGCATCCGTCGCCTGCGGGTTCCGACCGGATAGCGGAGGCGGTCTTTCAAGCGATCAAGCTGCACGGGCTGTAGCTGCCTTCCACACACACACCCAGGTGCTGCATATGTGAGAACGCCATGTGCGCCATGTACCATGTTACAATAAATTACCCTGTCGCTAGCTCAGAAACACCACATATCTAGATGCACAGTCACACGAACAACCGCAATATCATACGCTACAAGACAGAGCTCAGCCGGACAGTTGGACAATTCCGTCACACACCTCAGTCTCAGATACTGCGCGTCGCTCCCCACGCTCCAGCGCAGCAGCACACGACACAGCTCACAGGGCTCAATACACAACACACCGCGAGAGAAACACCGCTCACCGTCTGCATGTGCACATGTACATGTTGCCTCGAACTGGTCACATGCACATGCGCCGAGCCGCCGAGGCGACCCACACCCTCCCACACCGCCCTCCCCGACTCGGTCACCTCGCCCTCGCGGCCGGACGGTCGCGCCGCCCTTTCTTGGCGCGTCCCCGCTCGCTCCTCGGCACCGGCAGCGGGCGAGGCGTGTGCCGGTTGGTGCGCGAGTGGCGGTCCGCCACGAAGGTCGCCCACGCCTCCGGCTTGACGAGGTGCCGGAACCCCATCGCAGACACGTACCCCGTCAGCATCTTTGTGTGCTGCGACGACTCGCAGCCCGGCGCCGTGTTCGAGTCGATGTGCACGCGCACGACGTCGACGCCCTGCCGACGAGAGAGGGGCGTGTCTGGGACGGGCCTCGAGGACGTGTCTAGCCAGAGGCGGAGACGGAGGCGCCTTCTCGCTCAGCTCCTGCGCCGCGTCGAGAGCGAGCTCGACCTACAGTCAGCATGCGCGAGACATGCGCGAAAAGACACGTCCTGCAGCAGCTCCTTTGTGAGGCTCCACCTCGCGCAATAGCCGGGTCTGCAGCACCGGAACTGTCTGCAGCGACTCCTCGCGCCGCGCGTAAAAGTAACGTCCGGCGTGGCCGACGGAGACGACGCAGACCACGACGGCGAAGGTGACCCGGTCCTGCGGATGCGCGAGAGGACGGGTGGCCGTAGGAGTCTCTGTGGTGTCAGGCTTCCGGAAGTGCGTGGAGTGTGACTCACCCTGTCGACTGCCGAGTCGGCCCCGACGTGCACCTCCACCTGTTGCCGACTCTCGTGCGCACGCTTGGCCTCTGCCACCAGCCTCTCAAACGAGGTCCCTTTGCCAGTTCCATCGCGCCAGTTCCAGACATCCACTTGAGCGGCAACAGGAGAGCCGACTGCTCCGCCGACGCTGACGCCGCCACCGCCGCCGCCGCGCATGACTGCACGCAGGTGCGCACTGCTATCTCCCACTGAATAAGCGCTGGACGGCGAGGGGGCTAAGGGCCGCAGGAAGGCCGCGGAGACAGCGGAGAGGACAAAGTGCATCGCAGCAAGGTTCGAACTTTTTCCGGGGTACGGGATCTGCTGCACGGCCTAAAGGGGTGAGGGTATGGTGCTGACCGCCCAAGACTAGCCCTACCATACCTCCAAGCAGGTCTGCCAGCAGGCGGGGGGGGGGGGGGGGGGGGGTTATGGTCTTGAGCTGGGTACCTGGGTTGGCCGACGCTACCATACCAAACCCCGCAAAAAGTTGCATGCAATGCAACCCCTGCCTAGACGAGTACAGCTAAAGAGTACCCCCGCATGGGGAGCCCCCGTGAACATCTTCAGCGTGTGAGCCAGGAAAAGGGTTGAAAAAGTTGGAACCCTGGCCTGCATATAAAAGAATTTAAACAAAACAACTCTCTCTCACAGCAGACAGGCTTTTTAGACATAAAAGAATTCCACTACGCCACAGGACCCGCCGGCGCCGCCGTTGCAGCTGCCGATGCCGAGAAATGTTGAGAGGGATGTGTGGGATGAGAGAAGTCAGGGGACGTCTGAAGCGGCGAGCAAAACTAGTTGTGATCTGTGATCTGTGAGGGTCCGCCCGCAGGCGCATTTTGTATACCGAGGCGGTGCCCGGTGCCGAACCTGTCGGACCTTGAGACAGCATTGTAGATCCCTGGGCGAGGGTGATGGCGTCCCCGTCGGGAGGGGCTGTCTGGGGGGGTGCCCTCCCACCGTCACCTCACCAGCGTCCCGGTGAGTACGGCGATCAGAGCTCCCCCGGTCGTCGCGCTAAACCGTACCCCGCCGAGGCGGGCCGGATCCACGCGTTGCCAGACCGCCCCGTTGGAGGTAGACCGCTCGTCTAGCCAATCAGCCTTAAGCGAGCGGCCTGGCCGTTGGAATGGCCGAGAAGGGGAGGACGACTGTCTCTGACGGCGAACCTCAGTTACGAGCCGCCCTCCCCTCGAGACGCGAGGCCAGCGCACTTGGGGCCGAGAGCCCCAGCGTGCACCGCCCCACACGCCTCACGCGGCCTCTGGCTGGAGCGGGATCGCAAGCGAGTCCCCCTGGCCGGCGCGCGTCTTCCGAGCAAAACTAGTTGTGTTTAAAGCCATCTCGACCTCGTCGTCCTCGTCGTCCTCGCGCATCCGCTCGCGCGCACGCGACAGGTCGTCCCACAAGAGGACGCATCCCTCGCCGCCGGCGCATCCTTTGACCTTTCGACCGCCGAAAAAGTCTTCCCGACACCCCCCCTAGGACACCCGCCCTGCTCACTGCACACTGAGGGAGGGTGTAGAGGATGTAGAGTGTAGAGCGCTGTAGAGCTGTAGAGATGTAGAGCGCTCTGGAGCGCTGTAGAGCTGTAGAGCTCTACATCCGCCGCGTGACGAGGCGCCTGCGTTGTAGAGCGATGTAGAGCGCGATTTTGTTGTAGAGTTTGTTGTAGAGGCTCTACAGCCAAACCGCCGGGAAGGCAGTGACTCAAAGAGGTCGAGCCGCGCTAATGGGGTGTCTCCGAGCTTAGTGAAGCTCTGATGGACAGCCCTGACTATCCCTGACACATAGAGAGTCCCTCTGACGGCACACAACACCCTATAACTGCGTCATGACCAGCCTGCCATGTGTCGCCGGTGCCGCATTCGTCGCTGTGCTTCTTTAGCAGGCGGTGGGGACTGTCGGCTGCGAGGACGGTCGCATTTGCGCGAGGCGAGGCGAGCATTCAGACGCGTTGCATGCGCCATGACTCGCGCCAGCGCGTGCGGGAGCTCCTGGCTGAGCGTTGAGTCCAGGCGAGTTGCGCTGGCCACTATCGCTACGCCGAGCCGAGCTGACGCGCCGAGGCGCCGGCCAGTCGCAGCCGTGAGGCATGCCATAGCAGCAGAGGCACCTGCCACCCATTGGGCGGGTAGACAGAAGGCCAGGGCAGCACTGGCAAGTGCAACGCGCCTCATGTCGGAGAGCGACCGTGCCTCGTTCGCCGCTTATGATGTAGAGTTTGTTGTAGAGATTTCACGTTGTAGAGCGCCTCTACATCGCTCTACAACGCAGGCGCCTCGTCACGCGGCGGATGTAGAGCTCTACAGCTCTACAGCGCTCTCCAGCACTCTACATCTCTACAGCTCTACAGCGCTCTACACTCTACATCCTCTACACCCCCCTCCCTCAGACTGCACACTGGTGACCCTGTGAGCTCCTGTGTGTCTCTCGCGAGTCGTGTGTGGCTCGCCCCTCCCCAATGCACCACCAATGCATCGCGGTAGAGTCCTCTCAACTCACTTGTTATATGCACACACTCGACACACAATATGTCACCGAGACTCGGTATATACACAAAATATGCGCCTGCGGCGGACCCACAAAGCTCACAGCTCACATATGTCGAATAGAGGGGCTATCACCGCCGCCACTGCTGCTGCTGCCACTGTCTACTCGCGCCGCGGGCCGCGGCGCCGCGGCCGGAAGGCCCTTAAAGGGCGCATTGTGCTCTGTTCCGGACCCGCGCCCTCGCTCTGCAG